TAAAAAAATAATAATAAAAATTTTATAATATTAATAAAAAAAATTATACAATTTTGAAAAAAAAATAATCTGAAAAATTTTCCAATTATAGAACTTCATTTATGAATAATATAAACAAAATTTAATTGAAATACTATCATATTAACTAGTAATATATTTTCAGTTACATCTTCAGCTAGATACCATACTAGATAAAATCATTTCGTGATAACAAATGACAGCAAATTTGTTGGCAAGCTCCTCCAAAATCCCTAGCTTGTCCACAGACTTAATTGCAGAATATTACCTCTCCTAACTACTTCATCTCAACACACATACCACAACTTAACACACATTTAATACATTAAGAGCTTCGTATATTTATGGAGAATTGGTAAAACAAGATAGAAATAAATAAATATAGGTATGTTTCAAATATCTATTTAATTCATAGAAATTCTAAAAATATTAATTTTTTTTAAAGAAATATAAATTTTTTTCAGGATTTGAAAATATTATTTTTATATTGCTTCATATATATATATATTGAAATGTTTATAAGAAATTGATTTTAATGTTCGAAATTAGTTTGTTTAATCCGAACTATATCTAGAAAAATGAAACATAACCTCTCGTAAGTAATAACTGAATTTTCATAAAATAATTTATAAAGTTGAAACTTCATACAGAAATTTAGTCCATCTATATGAAAATTATTGATATTCAATTGATATTCCATATTTAAATATTATCTATATCGTAATAATCAAAATAATGTCCTAAGACTAAGTGACAGCACGTTTGCTAACGTTCGCGTCTAAAAGCTAGCTCATCCGAAATCTCATCGCCAAGTTAATCACAGAATATTAGCAATTCTAAATCACTACAAAACCTAATACGTATATCTAGAACTATGCTCGTGGAAACTCGATTTCTCAGAGAATTTCATTTTCTTCAATCAATCCGTTTTCCTATGAAAAAAGCTATCGATTAATTTCTCTTTCTTTCTTTTTTTTTTTTTTTTTTTACAAAAGAGTAAATGTGATCTTTTAACTATAATCCCTTTTTTATCTCTCTCTCACCATCACTTTTATCATTTTATTTCATTTTATTATTTTCTCGAGAAGAAAGTGGTATAAGTGGGTCGAGGCTCTTTTTAACAGGACGCTCGTGCACGTGTTTATACACGCACGTATGTATGCATACGTTTCATTGGGAAGAGGTTAGGCTTCACATTAAACTGATCGTCCCAGGAATACCAACCCTTCAATAGAATTGCTTCCGTGTTTAGAAAATAAACGGGTGGGGAAGAGAGGGTCGTGGTTCTCCTCGAGACGGAAAACACACGCGCGTGCACGTTCCATCTTCGTATCTAAATATTTTCCTCCGAGTTGCAAACAAGTTCCCTTCATGGCTCCCTTTGGTTTTAAAATCGTTTGGTTTGTTGGTTACATCGTGGTCTGAAGTTGAGGTTAGGTTCTTCGATTCTTGAGCGATTAATTCCACTACAATGTCCTGATATATTTAAAATTATATGTTTGATTAACAAGAAATCTGATGAATCAAGTGTGATTAGGAAATCTAGTGAACAATTTCTAATCGCGTGAAGTGTTATCGTTCATTTAGAAAACAATCACTTTGGAAAGAATGAATTCGAATGTTTACAATCCTTGTAAGGACGCATAGATATTCAATATGAAAAAGCTTACTAGTAATAAATGTAAATAAACATGCTTCTTTCTTATTTCTCTCTGTTAACAGCAAGTGAATAATGTGAAATGAAATTCCTTAGATTTATTTTTACATAGATTAGATATATTTTTACATAGATTTTTACATAGATATATTTTTTTACATAGATTTTTAAAAATACGGTTATGTATCAAAATATAGTAACTCGAAATATTTCGCATAATACAATTTTGCTATCGTTATTGATTTTTCGAAATCTAAAAATACGACTGGACTAATATATTCGAACTTAATATTATTTTCAATGAAATCTAATGATAATGGCATGTGATATTGATTAAGATTTGGATAAAACTATATATAGGGGAAAAAAATTTGACAAGCAAAGAATATTCGAATATTTCCAATTTGTAACTCTTGACGGACATTCGAACGGGAAGAAAAAAGGATTCTGAAGCGCATTCCATTTTGTTACCTATTCACGACACAGGGTGGTATTAAAAGGCAGACGCGGACCGATCTCTCTTCCAAGAGGAGGATATTAAAACCGTGGCTGTACAGCTCGTATTAAAGCGAACATTCAAATAATCCTGGACGGTGTACCGTATATATTAATCATAAAAGTAGGTTATTGATCCGCGGAAACCGGCGGACAAATAACTAGTGCGCCCGTTACTAGACGCGTATGAATTTTCATAGAAAAAAGAAAAAAGAGAAGGAAAAAAAGAAAAAGAGAAGAGAAGTGAAAGAAACGAAAAGAAAAGAATGTGTTATAGTAGGTCCATTAGTTGACGTGCAATAACAAAACCGAGCCGTTTATTCGATCCGCTTATTTTATTCTGTCAATCACATCCCTCTTTCTCTGTTTGAAACTTGGCGAATGGTGTTTTAGAGTTCCTCTCCGAAAACTTCGATCCCATGTAATTTCATAATTTTCCATTCTTGACGCATTTGTGATTAATGACCGTCGAATTTTCAATTTTCTTTTCTTTTGATTTTAATCTTTTTATCTTTTTTCGAGGTGGAATTTTTTTTCAACCTTCGAACGATGAAATATATTCACGTGGACGCAATCATAATTATGATCCCGATCAATATATTAATATTATATTTATTTAAAAAATATATATCCTGAATTGAATCTTTTGTTAATAGCATAATAAGTGATCATATATATATTTTTTTTTAATATTTTTATAGGATAATTAATATTAAAATGATTTTCGAAAATTAATTTCTTTTTGTTATAATGAAATTATTTTCGCTTATAAAATGGTTAATTTGCACTTTATTAATCGATTATTGTTCGGGAAACCCATAAATATTTGTCTTAAATAAATTAATTTTACGTAAATGAAAGGTAATATAGTTTTGTTTTAAATAATAATTAATTATGTTTTATATATGTATTACGAGCGTGTTTTGACGTTTCAGGAAAAGTCAACTTACAATTTTCATGATTTATTCCCAAAATGAGTCGAATTTTGATGTCAACAGTTGGCAGAAGTGTCTCTAGTCTGAGAGAGTTTCGATGGCACTACTACGAAATTTCATTGGATGGCTAACGCTGGTCTAGCTAGTCACTTTGCCAACTTGCTTTGAGCGGTTGTTCGTTGGAATATTATTCGGTGTAGTGGCCACTTCCTATTTCGAAGTCCGAATTTATGTGAAATTAACCGAAATTGGAAAATTTCATTAATGGAAAATGGTAATTTTATTAGGGGTTAATAATATAATATATTGTAATAATTAAAACCACTTGCGTTTGAGGTCGTTTGATTAAAATTTAATAGACTCAAAAAAAATGGCTGACTATTATCTAATCCACTAAAAGATATCTAAGAGAAATTTTCTATTAAAAAGAAAGCTAATTTCTTTATAATATTTTTAAATATAATTTTAAATTCCAATATATTGAATAAATTTTAATTATAAATAACAATAATGAATATTAAAGATAAAAAAATGGAAGGAAATTAATACAAAGAACAAGTTTCAATGATGATAAAATCGCAAATTTTTAATAACTGGAATTGTAGTAATAATGACTATTGATTATCGATATTTTATAAGTTTTCGATATATCGATAACATCGTTAAAATATCGTTAATGGATAAAAGTAAGTAGAATTTTTATTTTTATTTTTATTTTCTTGAAAATCATTAAAGCACGTAATAAATATTATTTGTGATAAATTGCAATATAAATAATTAAACGCAACATTTGGATATCTGTACCTAGAATATTTTGCTCAATTCTTTCTGAATTATATCCTTTTATTATAAAGCGTGAAATAAAAGAATCGTAGATGGCCCGTGAAAAAAATTGCGTTCACTGGAAGCACACTCATGATAGACGTCATCCGACCGGATATTAGGGTTTTTTTGTCCTAAGGACGACGCGTTTCAATGTCGTGGCCAACCGACAGCGACAACGTCCACAGCTTGAGTAAATTTACGCGTAAATTGACTCATTTTCAATTAACGACGATTTTAAGCGATTAAAGCGAGCCGCATGAGCCATGGCACGCCCATGTATGACGAGTACCATCTGCCAGTGCATTTTCAGGCCGCACGCGGTGTACCGTGACGATGGAAAAATTTCACGTGTGTCTCTGCCCCCAGTGGCTCCCAAATAACTATCCTACCGTGCGACTGACGGGACTTCCATCGATACCAAATGATTCTCCGTGAAAAAACACATCGAGAATAAAGAGTGACATTTTCCCGTAGGAAACTTCGTTTCGAAGGGAATCAATATTGAAAATTTTCGTGGATATAGCTGCACCTGGCGTCACGCCACCCACGAATCTTTGGATTATCATCGAAAATAAAAGGGCGCGAGAGGAAATGTCACTTTGAATATTTCATCTGTTTTTTAACGAAGAATCGACTGCACTGTTTTATAATGCATATTCCTTATAACACGGTATAGAATCTCAGGATAAGTGATATAATTAGACAGAAGAATGTAATTATTCCAGGTGGAAAAATAGAAAGAGGAAATTGAAAATTCGTCGAATAATATTAAAACAAGAATATAAAAGTATGTTCACTTCGGATCTTGCGTTCGAAAAGAAGGGGATCAAACGAATGGATTTTCAAAACGAATTTTCAAGAATGACTTTCTAAAAAAAAAGAGAAAAGAAAAAATGTATTTTTCGCGTATAACATCTTGTATGTATGACATCCTCTGTTCGTCCAAAAACGAAGAGGAAATGTGACACGTTTCCCGACTACGTTTCGTGCGAGTTTGCATGTAAAAATTTCGAGTAACGTATCCCCCTATCCGGAGCTAATATCGATCAGAAATTTGGGAGCCACTGACCTATACATGCTCGCCACCCATTCACATATACTCGCCTATATACGTGGGTGTATCAGCAGAACGTCATCGAACGTGTTTAGGACAGAATTGGCTGATGGGCCAGGTGAGGTGTCGCCATATGAGAAAAATCCTGACGGTTTACTAATAACGAACACGTTTCAACGCCAGACGCCATCGATCTACGTTCATTTATCCACGCTNAGGGAGATTGAAAAAAAAAAATAGAATAATCAAACTCGCAATACCATAGATGAAATTGTTACAAATCAACGACTGTTTTCGAACGATTTGAAGCGCTCTATACGATCCGCAACAGTGTTCCTGAAAATCTNAACCGGCGTTCACGATGGGGCGAGTCTGCGTGCGAGGGTGAAACAGGGACGCGTGGCCTAGACGCGTGTACCGTCGGCCGTCAACAAGCGTGCACAACTTTCACGAGGACTTTGCCAACCCGTGGCCGACGATACAC